CCATCAACCGAGCATTGATATATTTGAAGCTTTTGATGAGGTAAAACCTTTAACTTTGCTAAAACCTTATCTGATTTGAGCTGACCAATTTATATGAGGCTGCAGCTATTGCTGTTGAAGCGAGGAGAGACGATATATGTTGGACCTCTTGGACATCGTTCTTTCCATTTGATCAAGTATTTCGAGGTAAAAAGATGTTCCTACAAAACAATCTATTGGTATATATCAGTTACGATATGTATAACGTTTTCGTGTCGGTTTAGGGGATCGACGGAACGAGTAAGATAAACGAGGGTCAAAATCCAGCAACGTGGATGTTAGAAGTGACCTCCTCGACACAAGAAACGGTCTCAGGGGTCGATTTTGCAGATCTATTCAAAAAATCTGAGCTTTATAGGTTGGTAACAATATTATAAACATAGTTCTAGTCAAAAAAACACTTGGATCATCTCATGTTTTCATGTTTTTAGGAGAAACAAGGAAATAATCAAAGAACTGAGTGAGCCTCCCCCTGCTTCCAATGATATCCATTTCCAAACCAAATACTCTCAGCCTTTTTCCAAACAATACTTAGCTTGCTTATGGAAGCAACATTTGTCGTATTGGCGTAATCCATCGTACATTGCAACCAAATTTCTGTTCACGCTCGGTGCATCGTTGATACTCGGGACAATGTTTTGGAACCTTGGCTCCAAGAGGTAACTTACAACATGTTCAAGATTTGCTTCATTTTTATAAAGAACTGACTCGATATCAATCCTAGAACGACATACATCGATATGCTTAACTCGATTGGTGCTATGTATACGGCGTCGCTCTTCCTCGGTATACAAAACGCTGGAGGCATACAGCCCGTCGTTTCGATCGAGCGAACAGTATACTATAGAGAACGAGCGGCGGGAATCTATTCAGCCTTGCCATATGCCTTGGCTCAGGTTACAATTGAGCTGCCATACATTTTCGCACAATCTTTGATGTATTGCATCATAGTATATGCAATGATGGGATATGAATGGTGTTTTACCAAAGTTCTTTGGTTTTTCTTCTTCATGTTCTTCACTTTCCTCTACTTCACCTACTATGGCATGATGACGATCGCTGCAACACCGAGTTACCACATCGGTATGATTATTTCGACTGCATTTTATGGGATGTGGAACCTCTTTTGTGGCTTTATCATTCCTAGAACTGTAAGTATTTTCTTCGAAGAACGGTTGATATATGAATCGTTATCGAGTTATGGTCGAAATGACGCCTATAAATTGTGTATCGCAGAGGATTCCGATGTGGTGGAGATGGTTTTATTGGACTTGTCCTTTGTCATGGACGCTGTATGGGTTAATTGGTTCACAATTTGGAGATGTGGAGGAGAAGATGGATACAGGGGAGACAGTTGAGGAGTTTATAAGAGAATTCTTTGGGTTTAGGCATGATTTTCTTGGAGTTGTTGCTGCTGTTATTATTGGGTTTGGAGTTTTCTTTGCTTTCTCATTTGCCATTTGTATCAAGGTATTCAATTTTCAAAAGAGATAGTAGTACCCATTTCTTCTATTCTTCGGGACTGAGTTCATATAAGTTGTATCGGTCTAGCCTTTCAAAAATTGTATCGCAAATGGTGTTGAGAATGCCTTTCGAACCAGAACCTTAATCTGGCGCCTTAGACCAACTCGGCCATCTCAACATTTTTCTTTTCTATTTTTGTTGAGTGTACGAGACTTTTTCAAATATTTTTCTCTTATAGGACTCAATATTATTCTCTCTTTCTCACTTGTCTCCCACTTTGAAAGAAATATTACTGGAAACACAATTGACTAAGAACCTGCCATCTTAACTTCCAAATGAATCCACATTTGTTACATGCACACATGATGATCATAATCATCCAAAACTTGCATCTTTATTCAAACAATTCATGCATATAAATCATATCCCATTGTTTGAAACCCTTTATAGATTTGAAATAACTGTTGTGGAAGGCAACAAATTCCCCACTATTCATATCATAATCAACAAATACAATCACGACCCACTTACCAGTTCAATCAAAATTAATTCATTTCTATATAACGTGATAAACTATGTTCATAGTGGATCCATTCAAGACACCTAACATTGGGTATTGACAACCTCAAAATTTCCAATTTTGAAATTTCTAATATTTTGATCCATTATGTTACTTCAATCAATCAATGAAAAGGGACAAATGTTGACATATACAGGGCATCCATGTTTGGTTATGTAATTCATTACTCTTTATATATATATTAAGATTAGACTCCATTAAAAAATTTAAACTTTTCCACACAAGCAACCATGATCATTCAAAAGAAAATTCTTAGATTTTTTTTTTTTTTTTTTTTTTTTTTTTTTTTTTTTTTTTTTTTTTTTTTTTTTTTTTTTTTTTTTTTTT